AAGAGGTGAATGATTCCTTCTTCTGACAATGATGAATGACAAGAATATGAGAGAATATTATACACTTTCTCGGATCTGGTGGAACAATGGATTGAATATAAGGATCGAATCTCCCTCAGAAAGTTGTTCTTTGTATTTATCTAGAGAGCTTGCTTTTCGAAAGTGTTCTTATCAAATGGAATATTACATGTCCCTTTCTTCTCTCGCTTTCTATTTATCTAGGACATGCCCCTAACCTAACCTAAAGTTCAGGTACAGAGAATATTCAATGGAATATTCCCCTAAATATCTTATTACAAAACTAGCTGTTATTTGCTGGCTTGAATGTTCGACCCCGGCCCCGAGTAACAGTGCGCCAGTAAGTTCCTTCAATTTTGTGTACGATCTCAGCCTAATCGCCTCTCAGTAATCCATCCTTGTGCCATGTTCCCTTAGTCAGATTTTGATACATACAAAACCATTTTACGTGTGCCTCCTCCCAGGCAATTTCTGAAGAGTCTTATTTTGCCATGGTACATAATTTTTGTTATATCTGTATATTTAAAGTATACTCTGGTATGTGTATTTGCTGTTTTTGCCTGATTGTTTTTGAACTTCATATCCAAACCGTAATAATATATACATGTCTAACTAATACATTCTTGCTTTGGGAAAAGAAGAAAGAAACCTCCTCTCCACACCCATAACAAATAGTCAATTCCTTAACTTCACCAATTCGATACCAGTCGTGGCAACCTTATTTCTTTTTCATTTTAATATTCTTTTTTTCTAATTTTTTTTTTCAATCACCAGAAAAATGCTTGCCACTAAGTAGTGACCTAGTCTTTATTTGGACTTTGCTATCATCTTAGTGGTTAACCATGATGCAGTTATATAAATGTTAAAGAAAGATGTCTCCCTGCAATATAAAAACTAGAGTTCCCAACTTAACTATGCAACACAAGTCTTAGTTCTGTCCTTCTCTTGTCCCAATATAGTTGCAAAATGAGAAGCTTTGGGAATTTAGGGCAATGGCCTCTTCTTGCTGTTGCTTTGGCAATTTGCTTTGTAGCCAGCACTGTTGTTGCTGATTACTCTAATGGGTATACTTCTCCCTCACCTTCTTACATTTCTAAGAAGTATTACAAATCACCATCTTTACCCAAGTACCCAGTACCTACTCCTTACTATAAGTCACCTGCTATTGCAAAGCACTACTTCAAGTCGCCAGTTTCTGTAAAATACTACAAGTCAACGGTTCCCGTAAAATACTACAAGTCTCCCGCTCCCGTAAAATACTACAAGTCTCCAGCTCCCGCAAAATACTACAAGTCGCCAGCTCCCGCTAAATACTACAAGTCCCCAGCTCCCGCAAAATACTACAAGGCGCCAGCTCCCGCTAAATACTACAAGTCACCAGCTCCTTCAAAGAACTACTACAAGTCACCATCGCCTACAAAGTATTACAAGTCACCATCGCCTACAAAATATTACAAATCGTCTGCTCCCTCTAAATACTACAAGTCACCGCCGCCACCAAAATATTACAAGTCTCCACCACCTCCAGCTTATTATGAAAAATCACCTTCGTATTACAAGTCACCTCCACCTCCTCCAAAATACAATGAGCAGTCACCTTATTACAAGTCGCCTCCACCCCCACCAAAATACTATGAGCAATCACCATCTTCTTACAAATCTCCACCTCCACCATACTATAAAGATTCTACACCTTCCTATAAATCTCCTCCACCTCCACCAAAATACTACGAACAATCACCTATAACTTACAACTTGCCATCTCTACCAAAGACCTATGAAAAATCACCATCTTATTACTCACCTCCACCACCAGCGAACTATTACAAGCAAACTCCCACCTATACCTCACCTCCACCACCTGAGAAGTACGAGCAATCCGTCACCTATGCTTCACCTCCACCCCCATCAGCATCTCCTCCGCCAACCTACTACTAATTTTAACTATTCAATTATTTTCCGCCATTTCCATGACTTTAAATTCCTTTTTTTCCTCTTATCTTTAGCAACTCCATTTCCTACGCCAAAATTTGATGTATGTTTCCCGAAATGATCGGCTTTTGCTTATTGTGCGTTCAATGTTCTTCTATTTTAATAATTTGTATTATGTATTTATTTGAGATTTTAAGAAAGATCCTCATGATCTCTATCAATTCTCATATTTGAGTTTCAAAATACTGTGATTTTCCTTTGTTATTTTTATTTTATTTTATAAATCTTTTATATTACATAGTTTAAATAGGGAATGATTTAATGGAAAAAATCTAATTTATTTTGAATTCCTAAATATTTGTAAAATAATAAAATGACTATTTTGCCTAGTGTGAAATCTAATTTTAAAAGGGTATAAAAGCCGAACGATATTTCGCTAAGCGCTTTCGTATTTTTAATATAGTATAGATATAGATAATAAACAAAAGATTAAAATAGTTCATAATCTAAAATTTCCATTGAGACCCAAGTCTTTCGATTTTGAAAGAAGAAAACTCGCAAATTTGAGGTTAAGAGAAATGCTTATATTTAAGGGATTTTAAAAATTTGGAGCCTCTTTTTTGAGTGTATTCGTTTGAAGTCACAGAAAAACTAATAGAATAAAGGAAAGAAAAATAGGGAAATTAAGAAAAGACAAATAGGAAATTGGGAGATAACCGAAAAGCGAAACGAATGAGACAAAAGGAAATAAAAAACACAAAAGGGAGCCAAATAAAGTTTAACATAAATTCGAATTTGGGTCTTACACGGAACCAAAAAGGGGGGAATTTGCATCTATACTCGCTTTTTTGGTCACGTTCTAACTTATACCCGCTTTGCAAAAAAATTGCAAGCGTACCCACTTTTCGCGTAAACTTTAGGAATACAAGCCTGAAGTAGCAAAGGCAATCACACAAACTTCAGCATTCTAGTAGACGGGCCTGAAGTTGTTTGTAATTGCTGAACTTAAGCATTCTACTAGCTGATGTTTTGTTCTCTATTTGTTGAACTTCAACATGTTTTAGCTGAAGTTTTGTCCTGGATTCAATAGTTTTGTCGCAAAGCTTTTTCAAAAACTTCAGCAGAAGATGCTGAAGTTATTTAGTTCATTTGTAAAAATTTCAGCACTAAATAAGCTGAGTTTTGTCCTGGATTCATTAGTTTTGTCATAAAGCTTTTTCAAAAAACTTCAGTAGAAGATGCTGAAGTTATTTAGTTCATTTCTAAAAACTTCAGTACTAAATAAGCTGAAGTTTTTGTCCTACAGTTGTTATAGCTGAAGTTTTGTTCTCTATATGTTGAACTTCAGCATGTTTTAGCTGAAGTTTTTTGCATAAACTTAGTGTTGATTGAAGTTTTGTTTGTAATTGCTAAACTTAAGCATTCTACTAGCTGAAGTTTTGTTCTATATTTGCTGAACTTCAGCATGTTTTAGATGAAGTTTTCCCTATATCTAGATATAAGTCCCAACTCCCAACTATAATCTAATGTAAAGATGCGCAATAGTTCTTCTTCCTCCTATCTCCCTAACAATCTGAACACCTATTGAATAAAAAACTATGAATTTAGGGATAGAAATTTAAATTCTGCAGTAGCTTTAACAATGTTAGCTTCTTGCTTCCTCGACAGTGATCTTCTTTGGATGATCAATTTAGTTACTATGAGCAAATCAACAGTAAAATATACTACAAATTA